GCTTTTTTTTCGGGTTCTTATATAGATAGTTTTTGCATCTAGTGACTCTAAAAATATGACTGTTCCTGGCTATTTCTTCGCTCTCTAGACATACTAGTTACACTTGGATTCGAACGAAATTATTGCAAAAAAGAATAAGTTGCAGGTTGAAAATGAACTTTTCTTTTTTCTGTCAGTAATAGTGGCCCTTCGTTGGTGATGCAGTATGATAAGCAGTGCCATAAACAGCACTTCTCATTCGACTCCTTTGTTTTTATTGCAGCACTACAACATTCACCATCGGATTTAAATATTCGAGCAGCTGACATGTGGAGTTTTGGAATATTGCTTTGGGAGCTGAACACACGAGAAGTACCATTCTCAGATCTTTCGCCTATGGAAATCGGAATGAAGGTTTGTTGTTCTTACGATCATTGAAAGAGGGGATTTCTAATGGGCTGGTGAATAGAGAAGGAGCTAGCGGGCATCTCTAGTCGCAGAAGCTGTTGTCATGAGAAAGCACTGGATCATGCGGTATAAACTCAGCCAGGAGAACGAGAAATGAACCCTTGCAGAAAGCGGGCAGAAAAAATTCTTGTTTCGTTTCACCCCAATTTTTTGCATATTGTTTGATTTCTGCTGACATATGGGCTGAAGTATGAGGAAAAAACTGCTGCGTTTGAGGTTAAGTTCACTAGTATTTTACTGTGCAGTAGCTTACTGACAGAAATCGTTCGTGCTAGGTATTTTTGGCGTTTCTGAATGATTTTGCTCTTTTTACTACGTTTTTTCGTAATCAACACGACAAAAAGATTTGTCGCCTGTTAAGGTTTAAATATATGAGCTGTCTAGAGAAAACGAAAATAAAATTTTTCACAGGTTGCTTTGGAAGGGCTGCGTGTACCATTTCCGCCTGGTATTTCACGGAATATGGGGCGTCTGATGAATATCTGTTTAAATGAGGATCCTGGTCGACGGCCCAATTTTGACCAAGTAATACCGATATTGGAGAAGATGGCTAGCTCTTGACTGAGTTGGCCTGTGCTAGTCGAAAAATCGGCTTCTTTGTGTTTATTTCTTTAATTTGTAAAAACAGTACTTCTGGAGAACTGACTAATTTAAGTGTGGCTTATATCGGTGATAACAAATTGACTTTGTTGCAACTCGGTGGCATTTTAAATC